TCTTACTAGCACAGTAAACGCTATCAGTGACTTATTAGTGATATTTATTGTTTGCAGAGTATTCTGCTGGACAGATAAAGCCCATTCTTATTTCTAATGTAATGTTTCACTTTRCACAGGTATTTAAAGATGGTTTTGTGTTTCTGTCATTGTCGCTCATGGTGCTAGTGAATTACGTTTACATCCCTTCAAATTACTCTTTCCTATTTGATGGGCAAAGGTTAAGGTGGACTCCAATGACACTTAGATGGGAGACATCCAGGTAAAATTGAGTTTGCTGCAAAAGGTGTCATGGCACATTTAGTAAACTTTTCTTGTGGGTCAATGAGAAGCAGTCCCGGGTGTGGTACTACCAGCACCCTTGGGGCACCGACAGCCCTTCCTGGCCACTGGGGCTCCCCCACCCTGCTCCTGGGCCAGGACCCCATGGCAGCCCCCATGGCCATCAGCCCCCACGCAGTGATGCTGCAGCAGGATCAGTCTCCAGGTCCCCACAGTGTGCCCGGCCATGGGTGCTGCCAAGCCAGGCCTGTGTCCCATCCCTGTCACTGGCCCTGCCTGGCAATGGCCCTGGCCACCGCCCTGCCTCATCACCATGACGTTTCCTGGGTCCTTGTTTGGACCTGGCCCCTATTTGCACATCTGTCCCACTCACCTCTGGGTGTGTGGGACAGCCCTGGGCAGCAAGGGASTGGAGCTCCACAGCTCCTGGCACCCGTCCTGCTGGATGATGTGCAAGGTCTGTGAGCACTTAAAGTTCCCACCTTATCTTGTCCACCTAAACAGGAGCATTAGGAGCATTATCTCCTGGGTCCTGGTCAGATTCAATCTGAGTGATTATATTTGTGCTTCCCAAATTACTTGCCAGGCTTCTTTTGTTGAAACTCATCTGTATGGAATTCACTTGGACAGGAATGAGGATTTCTTTTCCTTTTTTTTTTCTTGTAAGAGATTTTTGTTTTGTTATGTTTTTGTTTTAAAGTGTAATTTTGGTTTTCAGAAAGTCTGTTTTTTATTTGGAGCCGTCTGTCTGCTAGTGGATACGTGAGGGCAAGAGGTGAGCTGTGCAATCAATGYCTGCAGGAAAATGTTGTCTGGTTTGCGGATACAAAGCTTAGGCACTTGAGGGATATTTGAATTTGCAAGAATGTGGAAATGTTTGGTCTAAGTGCTTTGGTCTTCAAATGTAGCTGGGGAAAATGTCATGTGCCCTGAACTGCTGTCACTGGGGACTTCAACGTTTATGAAGTGGGGATATTTTTAATTCTTTTTGCACTGTCACATTTCTGAAAATTTCAGAAAGAAACTGCGCTGTATTGTAGTCTGGGAGGCAGAGGAAAAAGACCCCAGGGAAGAACAGGAGACTACATAAAAACTAGAAGGGAGAACAAAGAAAAGAGACAAGGAATGAGATTAATACAGGAGAGTGGTTAGAAAGCAGGAGCAAAAGCATGAAGAGGTCTTGAATAATTTTCTGTCTGTATGCTAAGAATATGCCTATTGCATCTCCTCGGGAGGTTTATGCAGAGCCTTGTGGGGAAGCAGCAGTGAATTGCTCCTTTGGATGCTAAGTGTAAAATTAAAACTGGCAGGGTCTGAGAGCACAAGACTGGGAAGCTAATTGCTCCTAATAACATATTGATTTTCAGATTTCTGGCATTATTTCAGAGCAGTTTTGAACCAGCACCTGTTTTTTTCCTCTTCCCATCTCCAAACTAATGGCAGTGAAGCTTCTGGCATTGGGATCACAAATAAATGCCTCTCAATTTTTTCGCCTGTACAAATCTGTGGGGGTCTCAAAGTGGTTTCACACGTTGCTTCTATCCATCCAATAGCTTCCTGAAAGTAGAAGGGTGGCAGAAATGTGTATTTAAACTTGGATAACTGTGCTATTGCCTGTATTTATGGTGCTGAACAAAGTATTGCAGTCCCATTGCTGCAGATGGCTGATGACAATTGAATGGATGTCTGTATTCAGGCAGAAGTCACCAGCACAGGAGTCTGGGAGGCTGAGGCCATGTACTTGTTGCTGGGTTACATTCAACCCTAAGCAACTTTGCTTTATGTGTTGCTCAGGTGTGACATGCTTTCCTCAAGCTTTGGGGACTGTCTGTCAGGAGGAGATAGGTTTATTTGTGTGACTAGGCAATRCCCTCCTCTAAAGGGGTATTTTCATAGCTGGAGGGAATAGTCTGCTTGCAAAGAGATGTGCTGAAACGCTCCCAGGTACTCCAGATTGTGAAGACTTGCAAAGTGAGAAGGAAATCTTGTTATTTTTGAAATACATCAGGTGCTTAGGGCACACACAAGAACAGAACATTGTCTCCTGTGGTTGTGTGGAGGCTGTTTCAACTCTTTAAAGTTATTTAATTTTATCTGCTTAATTGTTATGAGGTTTCATTGCAACCTGTTTGTATCAGACTGGCCAGAAAAGGGACAGTAATAACAGATTAAGCCTACTGTGGGATCTCAGCTGAAACTCTGTCCAGACTTTTACATCACCTTCAGCAATTCTGGGTGTTCTCCAGGTCCTCCTTATGTAAGTATAATAGTAAAGGTTGAGATTTCTTGTCTCGGGACAGTAATTATCTGGCAATGGGATCAGTAAAGCCAAAGGATACATACTCTTACTGAAGGGAAAAGACTCATTATTACCACACTTTTGGTTTGTTCTAGTCACAGCAGAAAAACTAATATTTTCATGAAGCACCTTATGCGTGGCACTGTGAAGAAGGAAGCAGCAGAGCTGAGACATTTGTGTCAGCTACTCCCACTCACAGTCCCAATCTCCTCCAAGYCCCTTCTCACACTGTTCGTGTGCTGGGGCCAGCAACTGTTTCATGCAAGGCACATCTGAGCTGAAGGCGTCAAAAGAGCCATTTCATGCTTGGCTGCATTTTCTAATACAATCTGCAGAGAGAGAGAGGAAAGAGAGCAAGGGGGTTTGTGTGTACATAGGCATTGCCTTTGAGTGTATGTATAATATACAGTACATTTAGTTCCAGCTTGCAGCTGTGGGTGGCAAGTGAGGGGTGCAGACGTGAGGGGGAAGCGAATTGCACCTTGRAAAGAAGAAACTGTTCTTCCACCTTGAAAAAGAAACTTTCTTTCCTTCTTTGTTTCTTGGCCGAACCAAGATGGGGCACCCCAGGGCAGCACTGACAACTGGCACCAGAGATGTGTGCAATGTGATGGCAGAGTGGGTGATGTGTGTAGGGAGCTTTCTGTGTACAGACCATGACAGTGTGTGGTGAGTGCAGCTAAGAGAACTGCTGAGTAGACATGCTGTTCACAGACATCTTCATGGTGCTCCCAGAAGAGTTTTCTTCTCAATGTGTTTGTGTGTGCTGTGACTGCAGAGGTGCTGCCTACCAGCTGTTAGTGTGGTGGGTTACTGCACCAGCACAACTGTGGTGATCCCCACCAAATGTTTTGGAATCATACATGTCTCCTCTGTCACTTTATCAGCTTGATAGTTATATCTTTATTTATCACCTCGTTTACATGTCTATTGCATTGCAGTTCTGTTACTGGCCATTTTGGAGCCASCCATGGGTCCTTTACAGCATGGACATTTTGCTGTTCCTCAGTTTCCTATGCATGTACCCTACTGCAGCATCTAACATTTAGACATGGAGAGGATGTAAGGTTTGGCCGTGCCAAGCTTTGCTGTTTCCTGATGAAAGTTCTGCTCTTGTTGGCTGGGAAAATGGGACAAAGGGCTGAAACATAAGGAGAGCATCTAGATTCCAAATAGATGTTTTGCAATTGGTTAAATTAGATGGGCTATTTGCTTTTGGAGGGTTGGGGGTGGTGTGGTGGTACCTGGAGAGAATCCCAGTCAGTCATTGAGTAAACTTCAACTGAACTGAACTGGGTGAGGTACTGGTAAGAGACCTCTATGGAGCAATCCTTCCATGTTTCTGGGATTTTGATRTGTAGCCTTCTGGTAGAAGCCCTACGTGGAGCAATCTCTACAGCTCTGCCTTTGGTGGTGGTTGGCTGTAGGGAAAAGGAATCATCTGATTCATACATTAATATATTTGCATAGATTTGTAAATTTTTCAGATAAAAATGCTTTTGAGCATCTGTGATGGAACAATGATTGCCATGCTGCAGTGCTTGCTGCAGTTCTAACACAAGGCTTTAATTCTACCCCTTAGAGGAGATTATCGCTTTCTGCAGGGATGACCCTGAACCAATAGGAAATTTTAACTTTCTACTTTTCTCAGCTGAAATTCCCATTGTCTTTGACATCCTCAGAGATGATAGAAAAATATAACTTCTTTTTTCTCTTTTTCCCTCCCACTTCCTCCTGGCTTTCATTGTGCCTCTCTTTGAACTCTCCCTGCATTTGAATGGCATTTGCAATGGAGTTTGCTTTGTTCTTTTCCTAGTTTGCATAGCTTGTGTCAGCAGAGCTCTTCTAGTATTGGTTGATAGTAAGTAGTGGAAAAATATAAAATCACAAAATGGAGCAAACCTGATTTARAAAAGAACTGCTAGGAAACTCCCTTTATACAGTTGTTTGTCTTTAAAGTGATATCAATGGAATGAAATTCCTCTATAAATAAGCAACTGGAAGAGTACCAGAAATTAGAACTCTAGTCATTGTAGTCATTACTGCTTGTCCTAGGGTAGGCTGGACTTAACTGTGCACTGAAGGAGATTGCATTTTCTGGAAGATGTGAAAGATGAAGGCTTTGCTTGCTCTTAATCACAAAAGGATTTGTCCTAACATGTTTGACCTTGGGAATTTTGTGTCCGTGGGTACTGCTGTCTCCAACTGCAGTGAACCCCGTATCTGTCTTTGCTGCTGATATTTGGCATGCAGGGTTTCTGAATGCAGCTAAGGGGTTGTTGCRTGTTTTCCCAGTTACACACCTTTCTGTGGCAAGTGATGTGGTTTCTGTAGACGCAGGGCACTATGGTAAATATGAGGGTTCTCCAGAGGTGTAACTTCTTTTCATTTTTTGCAATTATTTGCTGATTCCTTGCAGAGGCCTCTATCTTGAGCTACGATGGCAGCATGTACATGAAGATCATCATGCCCATGGTCATGCACACGGAAGCAGAAGATGTGTCCTTCCGTTTCATGTCCCAGCGCGCTTATGGGCTGCTGATGGCCACCACCTCCCGAGACTCTGCCGACACTCTGCGCCTGGAGCTGGATGGAGGCCGTGTCAAACTTATGGTCAATTTAGGTATCGTATAAACACCTTCCAATGCCTCCTCACTATTAGTTTGGGCTTGTGATTAGTGGTTTTTTTTTTAAATAATTTCATTTAATTTCTGTTGGTTTGATTGGATTGGATTGATTTCTAAAATAACTGCTGAAACTTTTTATAATTACATTTTCTTGCGGAGAGAAATTCTCTTCTGCATTGCTGCATGAAGATTTGCTGTCAGTTCTTCGTTATGGACAGTGCTGGTTTTTAAGTCTTTAAGTTTTTAAGTTTCCTTTCTTGATCTGGGACTGGTGAGCTCTGTGTGAAACATGCTACTTGGTCCATCTTTTGATCAGTTACATCCCTCATTCATTCAGCATCACTCAAAACAGTCAAAGGCAAACATGGAAAGGAAGTAAAATGGATATGGTGGCAAGCAGAAGTCCTGTGAACCCCTGTCCTTTACCTAATTTGGCAGCATTTGATACAGCTGCCATATTTTATATATCTAGTAAAAAAGCATGGGTTTTTTTGTTACGCCTTTATTAAAAAGGAARTAACAATGATAAAAGTGCATCCCCCATCCTGAAGGGCTGTGTTCTGTCTCCTTAGAGTTACACTTTCCCAGAAAATAATTTAAAAAGACTACTAGAAACATGTCCAACAATGGCAACCGTACAAAAACAATTGGGAGTGAATGTGCTATTAGATTAGCCTCATTTAGTTTTCTTGACAGTTTTTGGATATCCTACTGACGGACAAATTTTTAAAGAATTTAAATACATGAGTTGAAGCTTTCTTTCACTTTTCAGTGATGCAGCTTGTTGCTTCATGTGAATTTAGGAATACAACTAAAAAGAGGTTCTGACTGAAAGAGGCAAAACTAACATGATAGTGCATAATCTTAGACATCTTAATTGTGCAGGTTATTGTATTTGAAGATTTTTTTTTTGGAATGTGACAATTACTGTCAGCTTTCAAAATTCTAAAGCCTATTGGAACAGGCCCCATTTAGCTATAGTATCACCATCTTCAGAGCCCTGCTGTGGCTGTCAGGAGCAATCCAGGTAGCAGCTTTGTTTGAAATGAATATTGTCTAGTCCACTTATCTTCTGGAACTAGCTTGTTTTTAAAATTGCATCTGGTGTCCTTTTTTTGGCTTCAAAATTGCAAGGCAGACCCTATTATTTACTTTTTTAATAAGAAAGTGAAGAGAAGAAGATGCATCAAACAAGTTCATATCTCTTTAAAAGGGAAGAATGTCCATTTAAAGGTCTATTGAAATTGTTGCCTTTTAGTAAA